TTTGAACTCCCCTTTTGCTTTTAGTGGTAGGAGTAGAGGTGAGAGTGAGTTAATATTTTGTTAGCAATGCAGAAAAATCAAATCTGCAGTACGTTTGCAAAGACATTTTCTGTAACTCGGGAACAAAAATGTCTAGTTCTTCAAATTTTGCTAATTTTGCGCTTTTTCTTTTTTCTTTTTCTTCTTATTTTACCTTTTACTCATCTTTCAATTTTATATTTAAAAGGATAGGAAGGGATTCTGGAACTCAAGAAAATGTGCCGATCTTCTCCCCCATACATCACATACAGTTATTACTGTGTTATGACTAAATAAATACTTGTGATTTTAGTAAATGATTTTTGTACTAATTAATATTTTAAGGGGGTCTCATAATATCATAACTTTTTTTCCAAATATAACTTCTTTTGAATTATTGATTTTTTACCTACTTTCTTAGCAGTTAAGAAAGTTCAATATTATATAGTTTACACAAATGTTAAATTTAACATGTTTGTTTTTTAAAAAGGCATTTAATTTATTTTTTAAAGTCATAATAAAAGAAGGGGCTTGTATTAACATCTCTCTCTCTCTCTTTCTTTCTCTCTCCCTCTCCCTTTTTCCCTCTCCCTCTCCCTCTCCCTCTCTCCCACTCTCCCTCTCTCCCTTTCTCTCTTCCTCTGTATCTCTGTCTCTTTCTCTCTTCCTCTGTATCTCTCTGTCTCTTTCTCTCTTTTCTTTTCTCTCCTCATCTCTTTCTCTCTCTTTCTCACTCCTCTCTCTTTCTTTCTTCTCTGTCATAATGAGACGAGTGGGCCTGGGCAGAAGTTAATCTGCAATACTATCAGATGAAATCTGTACCTCATTTTCTGAAGCAATAATATTCTATTCATGGTATCAAATATTGCTAAATAAGGTTGTTGCTACCTTGAATTGTAATTCAACTGAGTATAGTTTCAAAAAAAGATGAGATAGAATCTTTTGAAGCTCAGTTTTTACTGTTTTTTAACTTTAAATATTAAATAGAGGTAAATTAGCAATTGAAAACATTCCAGTAAAATGGTGAAATGTGCACAACCCTTACTAATGTGTTACTTTTCTTCTACATGTTTGTACCTTCATCTCTATTGTTCTTTACTTTACATTCCAGGAAGATATCTGAACATACTCCTGTTAATATACTTTCTGGAGCACATTGCATCTCAGTGAATACTCCAATTTTTCTCAATTTTATGAGAATGAAACATGGTGTATGCAGTACCCAGCTGTGATGTCCTATCAATTATGAAAGCCATTTTTCTTTTTGGTATACCAAATATATAATACTTTGTGTAAAGAATTATAGAATTGTGAAAGTTTCTTTTATAACAACATTCATCATTTATGTTAGTTAGGGGTGTAAAAAATATAGCCTTCTTTACCAATGTTTATGAATTTTGCCAAACACCAGTGTTTTTCAGTGTATGGTCTATATTCTTTCATTACTATTTTCATGAAAGGAGAAACCTTCAAAGTGCATAACTTGTATTTGTTTGATATGATTTACCTCTGCCATTATCCAGGTATTTTACCTTTAAACAGTGAGGAATATGCTGAATGATTACATGAAAACTCACTGATTTCTTCTGAGTGTAGCTCCTCTTCCCTACATTTCCTCATAACTCTTTGTTATATCAATGTTTCCCGTATGGAAATGCTTCATTTTTAATATTTGTTGTTGTAATTGTTGTTGAGCCTTGTTTTTGTTTACAATAACTCTGGAGCATACAAAAACTTGTTTGTACAGTGGTTTGAAGAAGGTATACCCTTTATTTCATGTTAAGTCAATTAGATTTATTTCACTTAAAAGGAAATATTTCAAGATGACCCTTCCTGGCTTTGATGAATTTGTGCACAATAATAAGAGTTGAAGAAATGACAAATTTTAATGTGTCATTTCTTCAAACGTTTGAAAGGAGTGAAATCATTGTTCAAAAGTGGGAGTGTAGACAGGTGATTGCAATTTTCCCCTTAGACAATATAGTTTATCTAAATTCAGCAAAATTTTGGAGAGCTCTACCTTAGAAAGTTTTCTTCTTAGTTTTCAGATAATGATAGTTGTATCACAAACATCGACTCAAACATGAAAGTTTTCATTTTTTAGTTAAATATTGTAAAGACGACTAGTCTTATTTGAATTGCTTTCAGGTTTACATACATATGTTCAAGTTAATAAATAAGTGCATTATGTTATTTGAGAGATATCTAGAAACTTATGAGTTTCTGCATAAATCAAGGCTTATGAACTTATTTTAATGATATTCTACACTTCATAGATCCAGTATTTTACAAAATTTCTAATAAAATCTGATGATTTATGAAATAATTAAGCAAGCATTTTGGGAAGTACCTATCATTTTTTCAGTGAAAAATTAGCAAGACTTTATTTAGGAAAATAGTGTATATTATAATTATTGTTATAAATAAAAATAGTAATAATAATGATGATGACGATGATGATGATGACAAAAACAAAATTAATAGTAATAATAAAAATACTACTTGGTGTAATAATTTGAGGATACATTGCTGACAATGTAGTGAATATATTAAAATAATTTTCTCATTACATTTAAAACTAAAAGAAATAATAAAAAATAATTTGTTATTGCATAAATATAAAGAAATAAAAATTAACTATTTACTAAAAAATGTTTATTTAAATTGTCCATCAATTCTACTTCTCATACACATCGTTTCAATGTAGGATTAAATGTACTCTGATTTTTACAGGTGTATGTCAGTTTTACAAGTTCACCTGTGGGTGTTAATACACAATGATAGTATATTGTACTGTTATTGATATCTGGAAAATATCCAGGTGTCACACATATGAACTCTCCACAATACCCTGGTGCACACATTAGAAGTGTTTGATTAAAAATATACCCCTCAGGACATGAAAGTGGCAGTGATACAGATTCATTAGCACCGCCTACAATTACACAGTTATAAAACATTGAACAGTTGTATGGATTTGCAAATAGTCCTTCAGAAGGGCAACTAAACTGAATACAGGGATCATTTTCAGCCACACAAGGCAAGGCACAATTTTGACCACACAGCACATTTCCCCCACATTTCTGTGGGGTGCCAAGAGGAACAGTAGAACCAACAGGACAGAACTGTACATGTGTTATATTAAAACAGTAAAATCCATTTGAATTACATTGCTGTCCATGAACAGTAAAGAAATGTACCTGAAGCAGAAAAAGACATGGATAAAAATAGATAATGGGAAAGTGAATATTTATTAGTAAGAGGTTAAGGGTGGACTCTGAATATTCACCATATTTCTATTATAATTGAGCTAATCATTGCATAATTAATTAATTGATATAATTTGCCTCAATGAATCAAATAGATTTTATTCTATTTGTGACTACCATATAATTACCATGTATTACCGAATTGGATTACCATTATTAAATAGAATAAAATCCATTTGATAGTGACAAATAACATTCATTAATTAAGTGTGCAGTTTCAGTTCCCTAAGAATAACAATGAAATTCAGGACATTTGAAATATATTTCAGAGCAAATTTTTATTTTTATGCAACTAAATAGTACCTCTATCAAGTAAATCGTATAACAAGGAAATGGTATATCAAATAAACAACTAAATATTAGATGAAGATAAATTACATTCTACACTTTCAAGAATAACAGGGTGACCACTCTCAAGGACGAATTTGTATGATGTTTTCAGGTTATGCAGGTCTTTTCCTTATTTTTCCATGACAAAATTTGTTAAGTATTTCATGATATTTAAATAAAATAATATATAAAGTATGAGTTTGGTTGATATTAAAACACTGTTGTTATTGACTGAGCCCTTTTTCTCCTTTGCATTCCATATTCTCTTGCACTAACATTGTGAGAGACATATGCAGTTCAATTCGAAACACACAGTACCTTTCTTTACCTCTTTGCAGCTCTCAGATACATGTTGAAATTCAGAACATATCCCTCTATATCAGGATTCAGGCAATGATTAGCTCAATAATAAAATAAATAAATAAATTTAAAAAAGAATATATTTAGTTCTAATATTCAGAATAGAAGAAATTCCTATAGCGCAATTTTTATTTGTAACTCAATAAAAACGTTTCCTGTTAGATTTGAAAAACTATTATTGAGAAATGAAGATTTGGAAAATGGTACTGTGACACTACAGAGAATAAAATAATTTCAGATAGTTACATTAATTTTAATCAGTTTCAGACGTTATTCTGCAAAAATTATTAGATTTTCCAGGCAACCGTGTTTTCTTATATATAATCAGTTATGTTTAGAATATTCAGTGGTACCTTACAGATGTTTTAATCAAATAAGAACTTGATAGTTTTAATCACATAAATTACTGCATTTACAAAACAATTATGTATGTTAAAGTAAATAGGAATTTGATTGTTTAGCATTCTGTAGGCAAAAGTAAAATTAGTCTTTAAGTGATTTTTCAATTGAAATTTAAATAAGGATGAGAGTAGATAGTATGGCAAAAATGAACACAAACTACGAAAACCCATTACAAACATTTGATTAATAAACATTTTTCATTGTGAAGTTAAAATCTATATGAAGTTGCAAATATTTGGAATTTATTCTTTTCGAAAAAGGTTCTACACCATTATATGAGGCACATCCAGAAAGTAGGTTTCACTATGTCGTCAACAAAAAGAAAACACAAGTTCCTGCAACACTTTATCATAGTAGATACAGCTCATGTTACACAAACTTTTTTTCACATAATCATCACCAGAACCAAGATGTTTTTTAAACTATGGGATCAACATTTGTATCCCTGGGTACAAATGTTTGACAGTCATCTGTAAACCTAAGTCATGGTGATATGTTTAATGCTGACTGGAAAGAAATTTTGTCAGGTGTAAGAAAAGATGGAAATTGCTGGGGACAAGATCTGCATTATAGGTTGATCATTTGGTCAGCCACACACAAATTGGCTCACAACATATCTTCCACCGGAAGGTGTTTGACCCTGTGACCTTACCTTAAACAGTCTCTACTGAAGCTCATACTATTGGGGGCAATAGTATTTGAATAAAAAATAATATTTGTGAATTAGTGTACGTCTCATTGATTGAGTTTCCCTCACAAAAATAAAAAAAAAATCAGGGTAATTATTATTAAACTACAAGTCCTTATTGTTTCAGCAAATATAAAACTGATAAATAATGGTGTGCACAAAGTTTATAAAAAAGTAGAAGTAAAATAACAAAATAATTATAATGATCACCAAAAATATTCTTTTACTAGCCAATCGATAGTAAAATCTTATCCCTATTTAACACATTAATAATAACAATGAATAACTTTCACTTACCATGAAAATGCTAAACAGTGTGATCAGTACACTACTCATTATGTTGCTGAAGTGTTGCATATTTCACAACTTCCACTGTTGCCAGAGATACATTTACTGAATTACCCTCAGAAATATAAAGTTTCCCCTCAGAAAGAGAAGAGATATATATAGAGAGAAGAGGGGAAATAAAATCTGACCTTGCTCCCAATCTTTGCATGAAATTATGATCATAGGATCACCTGTCATGATAACAGTAGATTTTATCTTACCTTGACATATTGTAGAAAATAATACAGGATACTGTACAGATAGTCATCAAAAGAGGTGTCAAAATTAATTATAGTTTCAAACATCAACAGAGTGAATAGGAGTATAATATCATTAAGGAAAACATTCTTAAAATGTGTAGAGCCTAATCATATAATACATATAATATATAATCACATAATATTATGAAACCATTATTGCAAAAATACTTAAAATATGTCCCTATTATTTTACCTCTTATATAGTTGTTTAAAAATATAGCTTGTCCATTTTAAAACATAGGTCTATTAATTATTTCTACTTACACTGTATATTTCTTTAAGTAAAGAAAACTGGGAAATAATGGTTTTATTTCATTAAGTTGAGTTTTCTATGCATTTACATAGCTTCAAGTAACTCTCTTCACATTGTTGCATTTCAGAATGAAATGTTTTTCTTTTGAATTAATTATTTGTTCATGTTCTAATGAACATTAAAATTACAATTTATGTCTCCAATTAGCAGATTTAGAGATAGGTAGGAAATTACTAGTTGTAGGGGAAAAAATCATATTTATGCCTGTGTAGGCCCTATATTACTATAGAGGAAATTAGTCACTTGCTGATCACAGAGCAAGATTGACATTTCACATACTCTTCAAACAAAATATATAGTTTAGTATTATGGAATGAAATATCTTAGTCTCCAATATACTAAATTTGGCAATATTTATTAAACAGAATAAATGAATTAAATTTTTATTCTATTTTGTATTTACTATGTATGTATGTGTACACATATTTGAATAAGTAGAATTGTCTATTACCTTTGTGTTCTTCAATGGTATTTAACATTTGGAGAAAAAGAAAACAAACTCTCATGATACTTTTGAAAATTATGTTACAATTAATATTTATTATGAATTCACTGTGAATTGTAGTACAAATAAATATATACTGAACATAAAACATCATTACTAAAATTAAACTGGATTATATTATTTATTTTTACTAATGGAAATCCAACCTGAAATTTGTTTTTTGGTTACATAACTGACCATTCATAAGAGATGGAGGTATTAACATCAGAGGATATAGAGTGCTATATTAATGTGGATGGAGAGAATGTGAAAAGTTTTGTAGTGTCTTATTTGATTTAATATATCATTGCTGTAAATCTATTGTCAGGGTTGAGCAGTATTTAAATACTTGTATTTGAAATACATATTTGGAATACATTTTGTACATGAAAACTGAATTTTTGAGTTTTCTAGTCATGTATTTTGGAGATATATTTAAGTACATAAAGAAGGTGTATTTACAAAAACAAATACTTAAAATACTTTAATAAAACAAAATTTGGGAATCTTGATATTGCATTCATTCCAAAGTTTGTGGAACAATTAATTCATATTTGCGTGAAATATTATAATTACAATATTTTGTTACAATAAAACAGATACAATGCAATTGAATTTACTGTTTTTGGTATTTCAAGTATTTTAAATACATATGTATATAGCAAATAAAACCTAATGTATTTTGAGTATATATTTAAATACTTATTTACAAAGTATTGGCAAAGTATTTACATACTAAATTTAAAGTATTTTGCCCAACCCTGTTTGTTATTGAGCACTGGCTCAATTGCCCTAGTAGCTTAGAAAAAAGTTTATGATCTGAAATTTCCTTGTTGAAATGGAGCTAGTGTGACTGTGTCTTGCAAATTTAATTTTATTAGAAATGTTGATTTTCATAACACATAGTGATTTTAGTTGGAAGCCATGAAATAAGAACAGTGTTATTTTAAAGAAAAGTATCCTTCTTCCTTTATTTGGCTGTTGAAACAGTTTTCCATTGTTGATATTCATATCATTTTCAGCTTTGTTTGTACATTGTTGTATTCTGAATAGAAATGCTAGGAATTAAATCTTTTTGTTCTGTTGTTTGAGCAATACAATTAAATTCATGGGTTGATAAGCCATTATCTCTCATTAAAGTTTTATTGGAATCAAATACAAAGTTGTGAGTTTCTTGGACATTATTAGTAAATTATATGTTTTATCTTTAGGTGTCAAATCATCTTTTGGAGTACAATGTGATGTACTAATTCATATTTATTCTGTTTCAGAGATTTTTGTATTGGGTAATCATTGGAATCACAAGTGAATAGCTGAGTAGTATCACTGAAGAGAATGTCTGTTATTGTGTACATCTTACTTTTAATGAACAACTCCATTTTTTTGACTTCATGTTATCTGCATCAATATTTTGAACATTTGTAAAAGGTATTCCAAAATTTTCTTCACTGTCATTAAATTTAATTTCCATATAAGATTTTAATTTTCATTCCATTCCATAATAAGAAGGAGAGTACTTCCAACAATTGACTGGTGTTTTGTATTTACCCCACTCATTTGCTTTGACTTAGAACTGACAAGTTCTGAACTTCATTTGAATCATTGTGAACAGCAGGTTATGAATATATCAGGGGAGACATGGGAGGGGGCAGCTGGGGCAACTTCTCCCAGGCCCAACTTAATTGGGGCCTAATTTTTTTAATCAAAAAGAGAAAAAAATTCTCTGATCCAAATTTAATGCTTCAAGTTATGTCTTGTATATAGAGAAATTAATTCTGTTTATGAATTGGGGGAGGAGAAATGTTTGAAAATTCTTTTTCTTCACTTCCTAATATTTCAGATATAAAACTATGAGATGGCAAATCAGCATATTTTTCTCTTGGTATTTTCAGTTTAGCGTCTGAATAACCTATAGATAGTTGCAAATGAATTTGGAAAAGAAAATGTGACTTCTTTAGATTTCTGTCCTGGTGAGCTTTTATATCTTTAAAATAGAGTTCATTCATATTTTGATTTACTTGCCATAAATATATTTATATTATCAGAAATTTTACTTGCAAAGATTCTTTAAAATCATATCTATCATTTTCTTTGTGATTTACATTTACCCTGTTGTTTTTTATAAAATTACTTTCCTTTACATTTTGTACATTATTTTATGGTTTAATATTTGAAGAGACATTCTGACTCAATTTAATCATTAATTCTTCATTTTCTCTGACTCCTGAAACTGCTGCTTTAAATGATTTTGGAGGTGAATGCTCTGTTTCAGATCTGTTATTTCTTGTCAAAATTTGTGAACTATCCACAGTTGTTGTACTGTCATTTAATGAATAAACCTTGGGTAAAGTTGTGAAATTTATGACTTGAGTAAAATTCATGTTTGAGTCAGTAGTGACTCGAGAATACGTAACTTCAGTCACGTATGCATTAGGTTCCGTAGCTTGAAAATTATCAATTGGAAAGAATTGAAGGAATGTGATTTAAAGAGGAACTTTCAAATTGAAAGGTGTTCTTTTTATTAAATGTTGTTGACATCTATTTTATTTTCCAAGATATTTTTCTTAGTTTCTAATTGATCACCTTCAGGAAGTTCAAAAACTTCACCCTGACTTACATGTTTGTGTTTCGACCCTGTTACTTTGAAATTTGTATAATGTTTCATCATAAAATGTACTTCCATCATCTGAAGTTGAGCCAATCACCAAATGTTTTGATGCTTTTCTTGACATAGATTTCAAAATATTAATTTTAGTTGAGGATGCTGACTGAATTGTAAAGTTTTCTATAGCTTTCTTGTCCAGCCAATTTTCTGAAGCTTTAATGGATATCTGTGTTTTTGCTATGAGTGGCAAAATGTGTTGCAGCTTTGGATTACTGTACTTCACTAGAGGTGGATAACTATATTGTTTAATATTGATAATTGATTGGTTGTATAAAATCTGGTGAGCTTCTTCTACTTGGATTGACAACAATTTGTATGGTATGTGTGAAGTGGGACATTCAGAACAAGCAAATCAATTACTACCAGATAGATGCTCTTTATTAGTTTTGAACAATTTATGAGCTTCAAAAGCTGTTTGATTTACTAATGGAACAAGAGTTATTGACTTGACATTAAACAACAACAACAACAACAACAATGTGAATAGTCGGGTTTATTGTCTCACCATGTTCTTTAAAGTTATTCAACTTTGATTTATTCCTTTCTATCTCAGAATGTTAAGTAAAACTTAATGTGGAGGTTTCATGACAAAACTAGGAAAATCATTTTCGGTTTTATCATCAGTCTCATCTTCATCCTGTACATTTGATAAAAGATATTCCAATATTGAGATGTGTGAATCTACCCTTTTTGTTGTAGAATAATAAAGGGTAGAAGTTTTCTCTGAATCTAAAGGTTGTATGCTTCTTCTTAAGAATTCTCTTGATGTATCTCCAAACTCACTTTCCCTCGAATTGGGAAATTCAGTTTCTGCATCTGAATTTTCTTAGACAATATCACTGAATGCATTTGCTTCTCTTTTTAAACAACATACTTCTTGTAAGGTATTTTGTATTATCTCCAACGTCATAATTACTCTTAAATTTGTCATACCATTCGTCTTCAGAAGACGCATCATCCTCATTAGTAGCTATATCATAATAGCATTTAATCTGTAAGATTACAAAGAAAATACCAAAAACTGCTATATCATAAATTCTCGAATCCAATTGAATTGGTACTGTAGATTGCTGTTCATGCATCATCAACAATGATGTGTGTTCGGTTTTGTTGAAAATTTTCACATCTGTGCATCCTTTCCTCACACAACACTTGTTCCCAATCATATTATTTGGTGTAGTCAGAATCACCAATTAATTCTGACATTAATTATCATAAATTATAAAATACACCACAAATAAAATTAATACAAATTGTGTTACCTGTGATATAACTTATATTTATTACTTGGAAATAGGGGGATGTTTTCTCAAGCGTTATGTTAATATTTAGGGGAGTTCAAGTGCGCATTACAGGTGTTGCAGT